CTGTGCACCAGAGTCAGAAGTTTGTTCCCGCTCAGGGACCATGTGGTCCTGCACAGCAGTGTCCCCCTACCCTCAGTTCCTCTTTTGCTGCCAAAGGAGAAGGTCATGTTTTTGAAATCTTCACCTACAGTTGAGAGGATTTTGTCAGATTTGTTGAAGCTACATCGGCTTCTGAGTCACTTCCATGGCTTAGAATGCCCTTTTCAAAAACTTATTTCGATGTGGAGCAAAGGTGACCCAAGGTGATGAACACGATCTGTTTGGGTGAAGGGCAGAGTGTCTCCACATGTAAGGCCTGCTAATGCTTCATCTCTAAAGCTCAAGGGGATAGGGCATTGAAACTTAAGGCAGCGTTGTGAGAGAAAGGCCTTAAAGCCTTGGAACCCTCATCCAAATCAGCCCCGGAGAAAGCTCCCAGTTCCACATCTTTGGAATTTATGCGTTTGGCTCCACCTCCCAGATCCATGTCTTAGTGGATCCGATCTCAGTCATGCTCCCCTTGGGCTAATCCTGCCTCTTCTGAGCCTCCAGCTAAGAAGTCTAAAGGCAAGACAAAAGAAAAGCGTAAATCAGCTCCCCAGAAGACCACTCCCATCCGCACTCCTGAGCCAATGGCAACCTTGCCGGAGAAGCCCATCTCCGGGTCCAAGATCTCCACCTGTTTCTATCTCTGATGGGGACAGGGATACTGGCTTACCACATGGCCAGGTTCCACCTGAGTCTGATCCAAAACAAATGGCCACAGTTCTGTGGTCTCAACCTTAACCACCTATGCAGTGACCTTCCCATCCCTATATGGTGTCTCCATGATATTTGGAGGAATGAGGGTGACAACTTTGCAAGACCCAGTGATGCAAGTTTGTATCATTACCCTCATTGGATATTGTCGTATCCGCCTTCAGTGACCATCTTGTGCAGGCCATGTTCTCCTATTCCTGCAGTGAGAGGAGAAGAAACAGTGCTTGCATCTGATGGAGGCAACACAACTTCAGATTTGGGCCCAGGCAAGTGGGTAGGTGATCCATGTCCAGCATCTCCCATGGAGGATCTCCGAATGTTTGGTGAACAGATGATTCATATGGCCCAATGTCACGAGATAGAAATCATTACCTTGGAGCACAAACCCAAAGATAAGATTCTGAGATGCCTCTATCCAGAGTCTTGCAGAATTATTGCTTTCCTGGTGTTGGAGGGTCTTGAGGACTTCACAGAGGAACTGTGGCAAAAACCTGCGTCTCTCCAACCTACCTCCAGAAGGGTAGAACATTTTTATAAGATCAAGGAGCCATTTAGCTATTTGACAACTCATCCTCCTCCATCCTCCTTGGTTACGGAGGAGATGCAGCTGAAGGGCTGTCAGGCCTACCACTCTGCTCCCACATATAGGAAAGGGGTCAAAAATTATATTCTTCTGCAGCTATAGGTTTCAAAATTGCTAACTATAAAACCATTGCGTCTGGTTATCAGCTCTTCTTATGGAAAAAGATTCTCCCATTCCTGGAACTCCTGCCAGAAGATAAGTGTCCCCTTGCTAAAGTTCTGCATATGGAGGCCATTACACTTTTGAAGCAGCAAAATAATGCAGGATAGCATTCTGTGGATTCGGCTGCGTGGGCCATGGTGAGTGCCATCATATAGCACCAGAGGGATGTGGTCCCTGGGTGGGAACAAGCTTCTGACTTTAGCATACAGTGCCCCCTGGAGGGTTTTAATTGTAAAGACCTATCCAATAGCAGGCCTGCTCATGTGCAGTCCCCATGTGTTCCTGCGCAAAAGATACTTGATGAACAACAGTTACAAGCAAGTGCAACTTTGTTTTACAGTGCAGCTGGATTTCAAATTTGTTGATATATTAAATATTAACAAAAATAACCTTCTCAAGTGTATGATATTTTTAATCCAAAAATCTTATATGGGATTGACAATGATAAATGTTACTGAATTCTGTAGAATAATGCTTTGGTGTGTGAATTAAAGTACATAGCTTTTATGCCAAACTCATTATTATGGTTCTAAACTGTTGATATTTATTGGCCATTAAAATAATTAGCTTGATCAATAGCTTTCTCAAGACCACTTTATAGAATTAGTTACCCCTTTCTGCACCTTGAAGAGCTAAATGCAGGGCTATTTTTGGGCAGGAACGCACAGGAATGGCGTTCCGGCTGGCTTCAGAATTGGCCACACCCACTACAGCCAAAACCTCTGCGTGCGTGGCTACAGAGGGAAGGCCTGGAGAGCAACACACCCCCCCAGTGACTCCAAGGTGGGCGGGCCAGGGTGGCCCCTGGTAGGATCGGGGAGGCATTTAAATGCCTCCCCGTGCCTTCCCCAGCCTGTCCAAGGGCTGGCTTGCCTGGGCAAGCCAAGGGAAGGCATGGGGTATGTGGCATAATATGCTAATGAGATGTGGTGTCAGGGGTGTGGCCTAATATGCTAATGAGTTTCTGCTGTTGGGTGTGCCCTATTATGCTAATGAGTTCTTGCTGGGCTTTTTCTACAAAAAAAAGCCCTGGCTAAATGTATTCATGGTGATGTTAAAATAAGGGCTCTGAGGAATGGGTTTGTTTCCCCTGAAGAATACAGTTCCCTGGTTTTGTCTTCACAGCCATAAAATGTGGATTAATGATTGTGAAAACGAAACCAGGGAACTGTATTTAGCTCACATTCTTCCACACAGATTTCATTCCAAATGTTCACCATACAAGAAAATCTCTTTAGGCAGTTGTTTTGCTATAATAATGTAGCCAAACATCTTTCTGGCCAGCAAGAACTTAATTGCTGTTCCGTATTCTACAGCGAAAGCTGAGGAAGAGGATGCTGCCATTGACTGGACAGTATGTAAAAGATTTGTTAATTGAAAAGAGAAACATCTGAGTTTTGAATAGATTCAGTAGGGGTAGCAGAAGTGACGTGTGTTTCATTATTCACACTTTCACTGCTAGCATTTCTTAGTTCCTCTTTTGAATGTTCATTTGCGCTCTTCTGATAGCACTCCATAATGTAGGTGGAGAGGGAAAGGGGAGGCAGAATGATTCACAGAGTCAGTATTGACTGAAAGTGAAATCTTTTGAGAATATTCCGTGAGATGTGGTGAGTGGAATTTGTCTAGAAATGCCTGAGTTCTTTTCTGTGATTAGTCATAAATAGCTCCAGATCAGAAGAAGACCTGTATGTGGACCAGGCCAAAGGTCGATTTTATCCAGTTTTTTTGGTTTCACACAGTGGCTGACCAGATGACCTGGAATGCCCACAGGCAGGAGCACAGAGACCAAAGCCTTTCCCTTCTGCTGTCTCCAACTGGCATTCAGGATGTCCCATTGAGCCATCATTTCTGAATTCATGGGCCCTATCCTCAGTGAGTCTGTCTAATTCTCCTTTTAAAGCCATCTGAGCTAGTGGCCATCACCACATCCCTTGGCAGCTATTTCCCTCAAGCGAATTATACATAGTATGAAGAATGAATTTGTTTTTTCTCATTGAGAGTTCTTAGGGTAGTTGCTGTATATTAGCTTAACATTAAACCCCTTTTATGTACTTGATCCTGAGTGCCTTAAAAGAAGGGCAGGATACAGATGTTTCTGAGGTGAGGTGGGAAATTATGAGTTAAGGTGCTTAAGGGGGGAAACAGTGGGAGGGCTTCTAGTGTCCCGGTCCCACTGCTGGACCTCCTGATGGCACCTGGTATTTTTGGTCACTGTGTGACTAGATGTTGTACTAGATAGGCCATTGGCCTGATCCAACATTCGCTTCTGTTATGTTCTTATGTTCTTAGATGTAGGGCCTTTTCTGATGTAGCAACCTGATTGTGAAACACCTTTCTGTGCTGTTGTCCAGTGTTCCCTCTAAGCTGAGTTAGTGTGAGCTAGTTCACAGTTTTTTAGCCTCTGGCTTGAGAGCAAACTAATTTATGCAGTAGCCAAATCGGTCGTTCACAACTTTAATGCCAGTAGCTCACAAAGTAGAATTTCTGCTCACAGCACTGCTTAGCTTATAGGGAACACTGTTGTCATCCCAAGTCTTCTAAGTTTTAGTTAAAACATAATTGTTTTTCCGGGCTTTTTCTTGATGACACTTGAGTCATTGTTGTATTTGTGTATGTTGCTCCTTCCCCCTCATGTTATATAGTTTTAATTGTGCCCTGGTTGGATCAGTTAATTTTAAGATAATGTTTTAATAAAGTTTTAATAAAGTATTTTGTGTTATTTTTATAAAATAACTGGTTTTCCTCTTACATAATGACTTGAATCCAGTGGATAATTTCTCACCTTGCCCCTGAAATGCTGTTCTTTGGAGACAGGGCTGGAGCAGCACTTTAGTGACCATTTGGGGCCTCTCTGATAGGGGGGTAGGCCATAAAGTAATTTACAACACGTTTCTAGTGATCTGCTGGTTTTAAGTCATGGTTTTTGCTGGCATTTTTATTATTTTTGTTGATTGTCATTGCTGTTTTAAGTTTGCTTGAGAGGCACAGTGTGGCTGAAAGCATATATTTAAAATAAAAACAAAAGAAACAAAAAAATTATTCTCCTCAGATATGGGGGGGATCAAACTTGACTTTTAATTTCTTGTCTCTTATTTTTATTTCCTTGTGAAAAGTACTAATAGGACTAAGGTAAGATCATTAACAATGTATTAATGTTAAGTATCTTGTGAATATACGTTTTCCTAGTTGTAGTGGTTTTATTTTTTTCTTGTAGTAAAGGGAAGATAATGTCCCTAAATACTTAAATTGGTATTGTGGCTGCTTTCCATAATCCCATAGAAAATTAAATTGAAAGGAGCTGTATGGTATCTATAGTCTAATTAAATTATTGATTTTCTTTCATGACAAGAAAAATCAGTGATGGGTTTAAGACTGTGAGTCCAAACTCTTTGTACATTTATCGCACCACAACCTCTGAATAAAGGTTGTATTCTGGTTGTATTTGGAAAACTGAATGCTATTGTTATTGGCTATTGTCAGCCATGCCTTACTAATCGTATGTTGCCAAATGCAGGTTATGGTGGCAGAAGCACTGAACATTTCAAGAGAAACCTATTTTGCAATATTAATGGATCGCGCTTGCAATGGACCGGTTCTGGTTGGCAGCCCAGAAGGTGGGGTTGACATAGAAGAAGTGGCAGCTAAAAGCCCAGAGCTCATCTTCAAGGTATTGAAATCACTAATCACCTTTCCTAAAATAGGTTGTGACTACCTTGACATCTAAGCTTTCCCTGACAAACTGTGACAGGATTGTGGTTAGTGTGATTGTCGGTAGGGATGTGCAAAAAAAAAAAATTCGGTAAAATTTGGATTCGGGTTTATTGAACCCGAATTTTTTTGGGAAACCCGAAAAAACCCGAATATCTAATTCGGTAAAGCATAGATATCCAAAAATATTCGGGAAACCCAAAAAATTTGGGTCCATTATAACCAATGGGGCCATTGAAGTCAATGGCAAAAAACCTCTTGAAACTTTGCAGGGGGCTGGGGGGGAGGGGGTAGAGGCTCCAAATCTGGACAGTGGCTGCTCAAGCCTCTCCCCGAAAGACCCCCTAGTCCCCCCAGATCAGCTTGCTGTATTGCCGGTTTGCCGCCGAAATTCGGCGGCAATGCATTTCAATAGGATTTTTACCTTTTGCTTTCCTTTTTGCAGACCCCTAGGAGGGGGTTAGAGGGAGAGGCTCCAAACTTGGAGGGTGGTTAGTGGAACCTCTCCCCAACATGCCCACCAAGTTTCAAGAAGATTGGAACAATGGAGGGATGGGGGCAACCTGTTTGGGGGCCCATAGAATTGGACCCCCTGGTCCAATCTTCTTGAAACTTGGTATTGAAATGCATTGCCGCCAAACTTCGGCGGCAAACCGGCAATACAGCAAGCTGATCTGGGGGGACTAGGGGCACCCTCTTTGGATGCCCCTGGAATCGGACCCCCTGGACCAATCTTCTCGAAACTTTGGGGGTCTTTCGGGGAGAGGCTTGAGCAGCCACTGTCCAGATTTGGAGCCTCTACCCCCTCCCCCCCAGCCCCCTGCAAAGTTTCAAGAGGTTTTTTGCCATTGACTTCAATGGCCCCATTGGTTATAATGGACCCGAATTTTTCGGGTTTCCCGAATATTTTC